TTTGTTATATTGACATGATAGAATGGGTGTGTAGCTTTTGTTATAGACTTAGAAAAAATGATGATCGTAATGACCGATCACAACCAACAAAAACACAAAGAATAGAAAAGTAAGATTTCAATACCGATTTTTATAACAAAATTTACCTCAACATCAAAAGATCCTGTGAATCTCATTATAATGAGGGTAGGGGATAATGTCTAGCTCCACACCCCCTCTCTTATGGATCATAGACCCTAGATATTTGAAGTTATCCTTCGATGTAAGGATTTGCTCACGTATACTTATGTCTACTCCTTCATCATTCGACTCCGCATTGAAACCACACAAAAGATATTATGTTTAAAAAAGATACTTTGTTTTAAGCGTGTTGATTTGTATCAATTTCTTTTTAAAGTCAACCTTCTAGTGTCCAATCGAGCGTTCAACTCAATCCTAGACTTGCGTACCAACACAATGCCATCGGACACGGGAACATACACTAAGGCATTTCCACATGGATCTCACGGGAAAACTTGTCTAAGATCAAGGTGGAGATATATGGCCCGAGAGCTGACCTTGGTGTAGCCCGACCTCAACTGAAAGACTTTATCTTTAAATGGGGTCCGCACATACGTCGTAGACCGACAATAATGTCGTGAAAATCGATGACATATCTCCTAAGGATACTCCTAAATTCCAAGATTCTCCAAATTGCTTCTTGAGGAACACTATCGTATGCATTCTCTAATTCGATGAAAACCATATGGAGATCCCCATTTCTTTTTCTATATTTCTCCATAAGACATCTGAGGTGTCGTTGACCTCCAAAGCATGAAGTCAAATTGATTTTCTATAATAGTTGTGATGTTACAAAACCTAGCCTCTAGTACTCTCTCCATGGTTTCATCGTATGATTAAGTAACTTAATACATTTACTCTTTTTCAAAAAAACTTAATACCTTTATAGTTACTATAGCTTTGTGCATCACCAATGTTCTTATATATTAGGACCACTATATCGACTCTTCATACCTCAACATCCTTGTGGTCTCTAAGAGAAAGTTGAATAACATTGTGAGCCCCCCCCCCCCCCCCCCCCTACAAAGGCACAACCATGTGTTAATAGGAATTTGATCCAGACCAACGACTTTGTCCCTCTCTATCTTCCTCAAAACCCCATTCACTTCCTCACTACTAATCCTCAAGTAGGAACCCTCTCTATTGGTATGAAACCTTCCTAAAACACCATATTCATTCATATCCACCACGACAAGGACATTATCATTATATATAGAATGAAAATAGCCAGCCCAGTTACTCGTATATCTTCATCAAATTACTAAAACTTGGCCGTTGTCCTTAATATACCTATCATTCCCTAAGTTCATTTGTCTTCTTTCTTTGGCTTTAGACAGCTTGTAGATTCCCTGCTTCCCTTCTTTGATGTTCAATCTCCTATACATCTCCTCGTAAGCCATGACCTTAGCTATAGCCACCACTTTCTTTGCCTCATGATTGGCCTCCTTGTACCTATATTTTTCCCTACATCTTCATCCTCGATAGACTCTGAAAACTCCTTATAGCAAGCATGTTTTAACCTAACCTTTGCTTGGACCTCCTTGCTCCACCACTACGCTTATATATGATTACTAATCGTCCCTCTCGACATCCTTAAAGTGTCTTTAGCTACATCTTTTGATGGTATTGGTCATAGTATTCCATAATCGATATGTACTGCTCGCTTGGTCAGTGCTAGCTTCTACCTTTACGACCATACTATTTCTTAAAGTCACACCCAAATTTTTCCAAAAAAAAAAAAGAAATCCTAGGTGCTCTTCCTCTAACCCTCCTTCCTACGAGTTGATCCACAACTAACAATCTATGTTGTGATGCACAGATATCACCAGATATTACCTTGCAATCTTTGCAAACCCTAAGATCTCACCTTTGCAACAATGGGTAGTCGATTTGGGTGTCACCCACCCCCTACACACATCATGCTGAAAGGTAATCAATGACCATCCCTCTTTCTGAAGAAAGAGTTTGAGACCACTAAATCACATGCCATTGAAAACTCAAGAAACGACCGACCTTCCTCATTCCTAGTACGAAAACCATAGTCCATGAACCAATGCATACCCATCAATCTTTCTTCCTATATGTCCATTGAAGTCAACCCCTAAGACAAAGCGTTGGTCATCTAACACATCCCATAAATTCCTCTTTTCCAACTCACTCAAACCACTATGGGGGCGTAAGCACCCACATCGTTCATCATCTCCCCTCCAACCACTACCTTGATCCCCATGATCATATCTTGCATCTTCTAACTTCCACCACATTGTCTATAAGCATTGGGGACAACAAAATAACCATCCCATTCTCGCATGTCGTAGACCTGAGCACCATAACATTATCCATTACACTCTCTAGCTTTCGCCCTACGATGGGATCCTACTCGGTGAGGTGTGAAACTATACACAAGAGGGTTCAAATTCAAATCTTGACACATCTAAAATATTGCTAGTGTTTCGCGACTGACCTCTGTCTCCCACATGGGCTTTGGGGCGGATTGTTATGGGCCACTTAAATGGTGCATTTTACCATTTTTTATACTCTCTATCCTTTGCACCCATCCACTTATTCTTCTAAATACACGCTATATCCATTTTCCTTTTTCCTTAATACCCCGTCATATCCAACAACTTCACATTAAGGAACCTATATTCTGAGTACCAACTCTCAACCTAGTAGCCTCTACATTGCTACCACTGGCATTGCTTCTCCCTAGGAACTCTTGATACCCTGCACCTTGCTAGAGACCCTAGTCCTAGAAGTTGACGGACATAACCTCAACGTATCAAGGCCATAACAAATAAAGTCAAAATTGTGACCCCAAAAAGAAAGCAAACTAAGAACTAAAATAAGGGTGCTCCTATTAACACGAATTTATTCATGTATAAGCAATAAACAATCATTAGAGAATCAATCCCATCATGTTGATTTCGTATTTTTAATTGTTTTTATATTTTTCATTTTCTTCCCTTTCAATTAGATGTAAGTTACAAAATAAACCTTCCTACTTTTTATTCTTTTTAATTTCAACAACTTTATATGAAATACACATATAAAAATAAATACTAAAAAATCTTAAATATATATATTCAAAATAATATCAATTAAAATGTTAAGGTATGTATTCTAATCATTTTCAATAAATATATTTTTCATCAAAACGTTAATAATATATTTTGTTATTTTTAAAATTTATATTATTAACGATAAACCAATTTATAACTTTTCTAACCCATTGCTAAAAACATTATTTAAGTAAAATTAAGTAAATTAATCATCTTTTCAATTTAATATATTAAAATGACAACTGACATATATCATTTCAATTATGGTTTTAAAATGCATGTCAATTAGTGCCAATCAATTCTATTGATAAGTAATATTACAATTATATACATCTAGTTTACATTGTAGTTTTAGAACAGATCCTAGATTTTTTTTTCATTTATATCTTAAACCTTTGAAACTTTATTAATTTTGAAAACTAACAAATAGAAACATATTAATCATAAAAGTTGTATAATAAAATGATCTTATGAATACATTTACAAGAAGAGTAATAATGAATATTGATAAATATTTTTAAATATTAATAAAAAAAATTAATTTGTTAAATAAGAAATATAAATATGAAACATTAACAAAAATAGAAGGGATAAAAATGAAAATTTGGTTTCAGATTCTTACGATTGATATGTGTGCCGATAAAATGTATTGATATGTGTGCCGATAAAATGTATTAATATGTGTGCCCATAAAATGTATTAATATGTGTGCGATAAAATAATCATTTTATCGATAAAATATAATATTACAATTTTATACCTTTGGTTTACATTGTAGTTTTAGAAAAGACCCTAGATTTTATCAATTTAAATCTTAAACCCTTAAAACTTTATTAATTTTGAAAACTAACAAATAGAAACATATTACTTATTCATAAAAGTTGTTTAATTAAAATGATCTCATGAATACATTTACAAAAAGAGTAATAATGAATATTATTAAATATTAATAGAAAAAAATTAATTTGTTAAATAAGAAATATAAACTATGAAACATTAACAAAAATAGAAGGGATAAAAATGAAAATTTGGTTACAATTTCTTTCTATATATAGAGGATTGGTATTTCTTATATGGTACACTGAAAGCGATTTGCTGAAAGTAACTTTCCTTAAAAGCAAACATATGATATTTGTTAAAAATATAGATTTTATTAAATGACAAGTTAGAAAGAATGGATGGGTGACACATATTATGAGGTAATATTTGTACTTAACCTTTCTTATTATTATTATTATTATTATTATTATTATTATTATTATTATTATATATGTTTTTCTCTTTGTTATGTTTAGAGAGATGATATTCATCCAATGAAGACAAATGAAGTAGATGAAAATAATAGCTTCAATGAAACTAGAAGTAGTGAAAAATATTTATCAAATGGGCAGAGGGTAGAATTGCGAGGACATCTATTGGTTTAACTTTACCTGTATCAAATTGAAGATGTCATTGTGCAACCCATTTCATTTTATTCTTTTTCATGAAATAATTTTATTCTCTTCTTTGTGATTTTTAATTCTGTTGTATTAATTAACTTGAAAATCGTGGTGTGAGTTTAGATTTCTCTGGGTGATTTACAAATGTAGATTAAACGAAATATGTTTATAAAATTTTCATATTTATAATCAAACCATTGATTTTGCTTTAGGATTATATCATCAAAAGGAATATATACTTTGTTGGTGAGTTTATTTTTTTCCAAAAAATAGAAATCCAACTTCAATAATTTGTAAATTAGAAATTTAAAATAAAAATAAAACAGAGACCACGATTTGCAAGTAAATCAATACAATAAAATTGAAATTGCAAAAAAGTGAATAACTTGAAATCATCTTTCTGAATAAATTGAAATTGCAAAAAAGTGAATAACTTGAAATCATCTTTCTGAATTTATAAATATTAAGGTATTAAAGCAATACTCACTTTAGCATCTCAGCAAAACTCATAGCCTCATCAATTCCAAGAACTGAATTTGCTATATCATATAGGAAACCCTCCTTCCATTCCATCTAAAATATCGATTTCTTCGGCCTCCACAGTGGGATCCACCTCCTACAAAAGACCGCCTCCTTACATATATATATTATTTATAGCAAACACCTTCAAGTATCTACAAACAGGTCTTTTTCTTGCCATATCTTCAAGCTATAGATGTCAAATACCACATTGACGTGATTAAATTTGATGAAAATTCGTGTTTTTGTTAGTTTGATTTTGGTGGGAATATGATAACTCCTCCTATAACAGGTACAATTCAAATAGATAGAAACCAATTTTGAATGAATTGACATAAAGACCACAAACCTGAAGAAGAAGACCAATACCAGTAGCAATCACTCCTTAAGCAAATGCAGAATTGTCAGAAGAGTTAGAAATTTACTTGGTAGAGATGTAGAGCGTGGCAAAGATAGTTCAAATCAGTTACGTACCTGGAGCAATAATCCCTAAATCGCTGGTTGCGGATCGATGGGAAGTCAAAGGCGATAGACAAAATCTAACCAATTGTGCAATAGATGGACGGAAAATTCATCTGATCATCTAAAAATAAAATGAAATTAAAACTGAATATGAAGGTAATGGCATAGAAAGAAACGAAAATAGGGTTGAAGTTCATTACATGAACCGATTGTAGACGTTGGTCCTATCTAGGGCTCGAATGCGTGAAGACATCGGTGCTGTGTAGGAGTTGGAAGCGGTGAGTGTGAAGATGAGTAATAGGCGTCTACCTCTTCGGTTTATCGGAATCCAGAAAGGGAAATTGATAAGAGAATGGTTTGGAGGAATCTGGGTTCTAACATAGTGTTACAAAGAACATAAATAGATGGGAGGCGAGAGATGAGAAATGGCTGAGGAGATAAAGTAGAGTAGAGTGAACATACCTGGAAGCCAACGTTGATAACTGTGGAGCAGTCTCCGAGTTGGCTCGATGGAGACGGTGGCGAAGTGGCGGGGGTGAGCGTCAGTAAAGACATTGGAGCGGGAGGGAAGATAACGCGACGGAGGGTGCGAAGCAGGGAGAAGAGAGAGGTGGTGAAAGTTAGATGGAGCAAAACCAGTCTGATTGTGAGCAGCGACGTATAGGGTGGTAGTGGTCAGAGGTTTTTGGGTCTTAATTGTGACCAATCTGATGTTGAAGATCGATGAGTCGGTGGGTGGGAGTATCTAATTGTGAGCAGCGGCGTATAGGGTGGTAGTGGTTAGAGGTTTTTGGGTCTTAACTGTGACCAGTCTGATGTTGAAGATCGATGAGTCGGTGGGTGGGAGTAGAAGATGCAGATAAGTGGTAGGAGTCGTTGAAAGTTAGATGGAGCAAAACCTGAGACGACGATGTTTCGTTGGAAGCCACCGATCGGAGTAGAGAAGATATGGAGCAAACTGAGACGATGATGTTTCGTTGGAAGTCACCGATCGGAGTAGAGAAGATGTGGAAGTAAGATAACGGCGGTCAGTTGATTCGCAGCCGATGAAGCAGAAAAGGATAGGGACGAAAAGGGTAGATAGCTGAGGAAGATAATGTAAGCGGAAGAATCGGGAAGGAAACCTCGTAACCCTATGGTATCCCCAGGAACAGTACCATGGTTAGGCACTATTCCTAAGAAGTGCTCCCCTTTAATATATATATATATATATATATATATATATATATATATATATATATATATATATATAGGGTAAAGTGAATATACCTAACAATCTTATATAAGCTTAGGTACCTAACCACATTATACTACATTGTTTTGCATTATATTTCCATTACAATCGTCTAAGGTTCTTAAACTTCAACCATTAATTTGATTTACTTCCAAGATTTTCATACATTCACCATTATATTCCTCCTACACCATTTGATTTGTAACGGTAGTATATAAAGCCCACCAGGGGGTCTCCGATAGAAAGATGTTATTTGAAGGAAGATAATGGTGAAAGTCCAAAGATTTTGGAAGCAATCAAGTTATGAGGTTGAAATTTAAGAACTTTGGGTGATTACAATGCAAATATGATACAAATTTACAGAGTATGATATGGTTAGATACCTAAGCTTATATAAGGTTGTTAGGTATATTCACTTTACCCATATATATATATATATATATATATATATATATATATATATATATATATATATATATATATATATATATAGAATGATCAAATTTGGTAACTGTCATATATCATTCAATCAATTCATTCAATTCATTTGTGTATTTGGAAGTGAATTCGTACATTTAGAATTACCCCTAAAATAAAGCAAAACTAGCACACGTACATTATAGATTTATGAACCTATAAAAAAATTTAAACAGTTATTAAATACTAATAGAACAAATTAATAATAAATAGGAAACTGTATAAGCAGGGAAAAAAAAGGTTTTGTCGTACTTGGGTATATCGCGTAGGAAGAAGAATTAAAATATGAATAGCCAAATAAACACAATGATGTGCTTTTTTAATAACTGATAACTGATAGAAAAATTAAACCTATAGAATTCACGCATAAAACTGTTGTACAACAGCAAAAATGATATGCTTTTAATAACTGATAGAAAAATAATACTGTATATGGCAATAATTGAAGGCTGAGAAGCTACAGATGAAAAAGGACGTAACAGTGCTGTAAGGACAACTGGACAAGGAGGTGACAAAGGACACTATGATCGTGGACGTGACAGTAGTGATGGGGAAAGGTCGGAGGGTGTTTCGGTGCTGCGGTTTGCACTTAGGAGAATGTAGAGATGGAGGGAAACTTACGCCCGGAAAATGTAGTCGGCGTTGTTTCTTCTGCTGGTATCGTCTTCTCCGGTGAGGCATCAGAGAGCTGCCGGTGACTGTAATTGATACCTGCACAAAAAAAGAGGAAGGCAACGTATACACTACAGAAGAGAGACTTGATCCGAATCAATTTTATCTAAATTAACTATAAATTTTACAATCAATATAATATAAACAACAAGGATAATTTGGGTTTGAACTCAATAACAAGTTTCAACAACATGAATGAATACATTGCAATTAGGCTCCTCGTGTTGCTTCCCTAAACCTAGATTAAGATCTTACTTTTTTTTTTTTTTTTTTTTTTTTTTTTTTTTATGGTGAATTTTAGGGACTTTTGTTCTGCAAGACGATCAAACCCGGGAAGTTAACTACTGCGCGACGTCCACGGAGCTTAAATGCTTCTCGATCATACGCCATGGCAGCTTCCTCAGCCGTCTTGTAAGTCCCTAAACACATCCTCACGCCTGTCTTTGGATTCCGCATCTCAGCCGCGAATTTCCCCCATGACCGTCGTCTTACTCCTCTGTACCCCACCATTGATGGTTGTCGTTGATTATGGATGACATCAGACAAACCCTCGTTTACCTTTGCCGGAGCTTTGTTGTCGGAAATCATTCCGCCACCGGGTGAGAAATCCCTGCTGCTATAAGTAACGGCGGATGATGGAGAAGACTCAGGTTGGGTGGTTTCGTTGAAAATGATTGGAATTCCAGCCAACTCCTTTACCTCGTTGTTTGGATGTGTTTCGATGGTATGAGTTTCGTGACTGATATAATCTAAAATTATTTGTATTTCAAAATCATTAAGGTTTAGCAGATTTTCAAGTGGATCATTCGATTTTGGAGAAATCATGCTCGAACTTGGGCTAATGTATGTGCTCGATGATGAACTCAAATCCACGCAGATTCTTGAGTTTTGTTCCTCCATTTTCAATGATGTATGATTCGTGGGGGTTTTCAGCAACTGTAGAGTGTAGAGAGAGTTGATCTGTTTTTGGGCTCGCAAAAGCAAAAATTCACATACATACACTCTTTTTGATAAGCTTGTAGTTTGACACTTGTCACCATCGACTGTCCTTAGTCAAAGACAATACCATTTAGATTTATCTTCACTATCTTTGGTATATACATAATAAAATAATAAAATGTACTAGAAAAATTCGTTCAAGTCTAGTAAAAAATTGGGATAATGACTTAAAAACGTAACGAAGTTTCAAAAGTGTACAAAAAAGATCATTGTTGTTTTTTTTGTACACAAAATACCATTTTACCAGTTATTGTAGGTTATCCGGTTTCCAAATGTTCAAAAAATACCATTGTTGTTTTTTTAGTACAAAAAATACCATTAATGTTACTATTTGTACACAGAATACCAACAAAATACACATGTGTTCAACTAAAACATTGTGGTAACCAGGTACTTCAGGTAAATGGGATGAGATGAGCGTAATCAGCAAGTGCTTGTTTAATTTTTGTTGAAATTGTTGGAAAAGATCTTACTTCCACCGTATGATCAGCCGAACAAGATTACAGGTGATGCTTCGGCTGATAAATTTTTCTTCAAATCGGTGATGAAAAGAGCGTAATCAGCAAGTGCTTGTTCGGCTGTTAGATAGATTGAAGTAGAAGCATTCTTGTATGCCTCTTTCTGGCTTCCATATAGCATCAATTCACCATAATATCGATGCTAGATCAAATCACACAGTTTTTGATAAAATTGTATTATTAAAGGTCTGCAAGTGAACAAATTAATGCAGAGTAGAGTGATTAGGGCTTTTACTTCGGGGAAGATGACCATGGCACCAAAACGAGGGGCGAGTTCCCAAACAAAGTCGGTGTTGGCAGCGAACCATTCGATGTCGCCTTTGTTGCCGCAATAAAGGAAGATTGGACCCAAATGACTAGGGCTTGGGCCCACCCAGTGATCGGAGTTGATAAGATAACGTTGTTGGAACTTGGGAAGATCATTAAAACTGAAATTATCAAAATTCTGATCAAAGTATCGTGTCTCATAAGTGTACTTCGGCTGAACAAAAATTTTTGGGTTTTAAGAAGCCGTGGGGATTTGCCGAGAAACGGAGGTGGCCAGTGAGATTCCGGCGTTGATGAAAGTAGGCAGATGATTAGGAGGAAGAATAAGAAAAAGGGTTTTGCCATGGTGGTGGAAGGTGGCGATGAACAACAGTAGTGGCCAAAGTGAAGTGGAGGGTTCTTTATAAAAAGTAGCTAAATTTCCATTACATTCAAAGAAGGAAAAATGACTTAAAAAGATAATGAAGTTTCAAAAATGTACAAAAAAGACCATTGTTTTTTTTTGTACACAAAATACCATTTTACCGGCTATTGTAGGTTACCCACAAGGTATTATTTGAACACATGTGTACTTCATTGGTATTTTGTGTATAAAAAATTTACTTTAATGGTATTTTGAGTACTAAAAATAAAATAATGGTATTTTTTGTACATTTTTGAAACTTTATTACCTTTTTAAGTCATTATCCCTAAAAAATTAGTTTAGTGATCATGTTCACGATTGATTATATATTAAAGAGTTATTTAACACTTGTTGACTGAACTGGGCCCTAACTACCGACTAGGCCTAAAGCTATGATTGTATATGTTTCTTATTGAAACTTTGATTACATATATAACTAGAAAAGATTCCCCCGCGCTGCGGGGTTAAAGGGTGTTCGTTTGTAAAGTATGTTGCTAATGTTAGTTCGTGTTACTATGCACCACACTATGGAGGATACTAACATTTCTTTATAAAATCGTAACCGGATCTCAACTGCTAAGATTATTTTGATTAACATTCATTCTGAATCTTTTGTCTTCGTAAAAGTCGACCCCATAGGCGTGTATCAAATGATAATCTGCAATTCATATTTGAAAGTTAAATCATGGAATTCATAAAGAAGTTATGAAATATATGGGGGAAAAGCATAGGTGAAGCGTGAAGAATAAACGCATAAGATGAACTTGGGGAAATGACTAAAATATCCCTAAAAGTATAAGTTTGAGATGCACACAGATATTTAACAGTCTATAAATATCTAACAGATGCATTAATTTGGATGGTTTTATGCTTGAAACATTTGTTGCCAATGATTTCCATACATAAATGTATAAGTCTTAATTGCGAAATCGTTCAATAGCAAGTTGTACACTATATGTACTATTAACAATTAAAATCGTCATTCATATTATCATGTGATGACATGTATAGTTTTAAATTCCTGAATGTTAGTGGTGTAAAATCTTCTTTTCCAACCGTGATTTAAAAGCAGTCAATGTACACATTCTATAAAATGCTTCTATACCGACACTCTAATGAGAATAACTATAAATGGTCCATTAGTGAGCTTTTTCTTCCCATGTGGTATATCAAAACGACATAATTGTCCAAAAGCTACACGCATGTGTTTAATTATTGTATAAATGAAGTTGTTATCATACTAATCTATTCAACAGAAGAAGTGAATCGATATTTGTCACCAAGTAAAGCCAAAGTGTCTAAGGAGTCAATCTGCACCAGTGAAATTATAGTGTATATATATATATATATATATATATATATATATATATATATATATTCATAAATATATATAGATATTTGTCACCTGCAAACCCAAACTTTAGGACTAAGCAACCTGCAGTATATAAGGAGGCTTAGCCTTGGGATTTTTGGCCACCTTAGAAGAACCCTAGTAGAGCCGAATTTCTAAGAGCATTCCCTTGTCTCTGCTCTCATCCTCTTGCAAAGAGTGTTTGTAATCCATTAGATGTGTCACATTTGAGGCACTTTCTTTCAAGAGCTAAAGATCTACAAGGTTTTCTTGTTATTACTACATAACAAGTAAGGTACACATCTAAACCCTATTTTGTATAGATTTCGAATTATATACTAGGTTCTTAGGGTTTCTCTTTGATATTCAAGTTTGCATGTTCAACTAGTGAAAACCTAGATCTTTATTTTAGGGTTGCATGAACACATATGATTTGTAGTTATGCTCAAAACCCATCAGTTTAAAGTTGAGCAAAATTATAAATATTGCTGAGAAAAAATCATACAACCGTAATAACCTCTGTTTAGAGCTTTGTAATTCAGTTATTTATTAAGTAGTTTGATACTTTTTGTAGCATCGTGATTTTTTTCTTTTAATTAATTAATTTATTTATTTCAAACACTTTCAAACAGAATACGTTAACGAAAGTCTTAATTTATGATTATTTCAAAAAATCACTAACGCTAGTAAAACATCAAAAACAAAAATTATCAATGTTTAAGTTTGCAAAAACCATTAGTAAATGAAAACTTAAAAACATGTCCAAAAATGGTATCATCACTAAGAAACATCTAGAACATAATTACCTAAAGTCTCCATCATCTCTAAGCCATCAATCATGCTACTTGTACCGATGCAAGGCGAAAGCAACAAGCAAAGAAACAAATGTTATGAAAACATGCATTCCCCAAATGGATCTAACAAACAATACATAACATGCATTCCCTTATCATTCTTGACAGAACTGTAGAAACCATTACCAATCAAAAATCTCGATTGAATATTGATCGATTTTTGATTGGTTGATTCTCGATTCTTCTTCTTCCTGGCTCTAATCAATTCTTGGTTGTTCAAAAATCAAAAGTTAAACTGCAAACTTCAAGGTTGTCAAGTGTCAAGAACCGATTCTTGGATCCTGAAATGGTATGTTCTTCTAAATTATAATTCTTCATGCACTGATTCTCCATAATTGATAACTCTAATGTTGTATGTGGATTCTTATTTCTCGATTAGTCTATTAGGTTCATCACTTATCATTTATGTTTGATATGTTATATGTATATAAGTTTTCCTTCTGCTTCTGGACCTTCCATTATTTGAATATCATATTATTAGATTATCTATTAGGGGTAAATGTTAACAGAGCTTAATTTTTTTCAATATTCATTGTGTCAAATTTGATTTTGGAATCAGGTTTGGATTTTAGAACAATTTTGGTTTGAAGTTGCCAAGTTGCAACGAATTTGAGTTTTCCCAAGGTCAAGGTTGTTAAGAACTGACTGTGCCAAGCAGGAAAAGTTTGTAATTCCATTACTTTTTGTTTATTTTTTGCTATCTTGGTGATTGTTATTATAAATCAAATAATCAATAATTATGTCTAAGAGAAAATATGAAGCATGGGCTTTTAAAAGGAAAAGAAAAATGCAACAAGAAAACTTTTATAGAATCACAAAAATGATTGTTTTGTAAAAAAATTAACTACTAACAAAAATGTTGATAATGAACAAGAACAAACTAATCTTGATAATAATAGTCATGAACAAACTAATATTGGAATTAATAATGAGCAAACTAATATTTGTGATTTATAAACTTTTTACTTTATTATTGCTAGTTCCAAGCAAGGATAAATGAGGAGGGTTTGTAACATTAAGTATAGTAAATGTCAAAGGGCTCTAAATTTTTGGTTCTTTTAGAGCCCCCAAAATGACTGTGTCGCGCATGTTTATCACATTAGCATTTTCATACCTAAAGTTCATGCATGGAATTAAGATCACTACCAAATTATCAATTTTCATATCACATAGATAATTAATTGATATACATGTTAGATCCATCCAAATTCCAAAATTTAACCCCTTTATTAACACATACACAACTTTATATATCTATGGATGACCTAGAAGCTCTTAGGTCTTTTTGGTAGCAAGTGTTATAACAGAAGTATACAATCAACAAAACCAATAGAAATAAAACAAATGTAATTCAAATATATGTAATATACAAAAATCAGTTTACAGAAAACATACTTGAATGTTGACTATATATAAAATATAATCATAAAATTATACATATTAAGGCCTGCTTTTGCGGTGTCTTAAGACAAAAATTTCCCTAGAATGGATCTGTCTTGACGATACAA